GCACTGGGTTCTATCCTTAGCACCACATAAAATAAAGTTATTGTGTCCACATATAACTAAAAATAAATATTTAAAAAAGATAGAATGTTAATGTGATCCAAAAAGTTGAGTGTTGTCACATTAGAAGAGAACTGGTAAGGCCTGAATCCAGGGGAAACAATAAAATGTAAAGTTATATAGAGGAGGAGCAAGCAGATATGTGAATAAACCAAGAAATCAAAGCATATTCTATCTCAGAAACATGTCAGAATTCTTCTTTATCAAAATATTTCTGATACAGAACTGATATAATCAATTAACACTCATTAGAACAACTTGATAGCAACTGACTAAATGTGCCTCAAATACCAAATACTCCATTTTCCATCTGATACAATGGCAGCAATTCTTGGGATTAAGAGTCATTTCTAGTTGTATGAATATTAGTGATAAACATAACATTTGTTATTCAATAAATATTCAATGGATCTGTTATTATAATCAATCACCTCATTAGGCCATCACTTCAATTATTAGCTAAAGTTTGTATGCATGTGTGCACGTGTGTGTGTGTGTGTGTGTGTGTGTGTCTTGTTCTGGCGATTGTCCCAAGAACCTTGTGTTACCTACAAAAGTGCTCTGCCGACACAGAGCTACACCCCAGCTTCCTATTAGCTAAACTTTATTTCCTTGTTCTTCTTCATACCCTTTGCTTTTTGTTACTTCCAAGAAAATTTTATGAAATTCCCCTTTCAGGAGAGGTAAAACTGATAGAATGGCCAAGAATAAAGAGCTTTGACCTCTGAATTACATATTTAAAAGGTGAGACAATAATCTGAACAGTCTGTTCTTCTTAATAGTTCTCCCCTCTTTGGAAGAGACAAAGACTTGTAGGAGAGCTAGGAACTATGTGGATTTAATGATGTCAGAGAAGCTCTCCACCACTGGAAGCATATGCCATTATTAAATCATAATAGTATGTGTAGAAGGATATAAGGGGATGTGATTAAGGTATAGAGGTTGCCTGGGTTTCTGAGAAGGACTCAAGGCCCAGGGAGGGCAAGGGTCTAATAGAATCTCCTATAGTCTGAGGCAGAATCTGTAAATAGAAAGGATTTGTGATCTTTCCCCCAGGGATTGTCTTGGGAAACTACTTTTTAGAGAAATTCTGCACACAACATGGGATCTGCATGTTAATGAGGCTATGCTTAAGGGGATGATTTTTTTTTAAACAGGGATATGGGTTTGCAATGTAGCAGAGTTTATGGTGCTAGAAATACATGTAAGCATGTCTGAAATTTCCAATAGAATAAAGTCTGAACAAGTGTGTGAAGCTTGTGTCTGGAAACTACAGCAAAGATTTTGGCCTTGAGTAACCAGGGCTCAGTCCAAAGAACTGGTGGGAGTATCTCAAATAAGACAGATGGTGTAGGCACCAGAGGTCTTTCCCCTTTACCAGAAAGCTGTATGTGAGTTCCCTAGAAATGGGTTTCTTGAGGGAAAAGGGAAGGAGAAGGGAAATGGAAAATCTCAATTTAAAACTCAATGTTAACACATAAGAAGGTGAATTCCAAATCAGAACTGACAGTTATCTTGGGGTTGCAAGGTGATAAGATTTTATTTGTTTGTTTGTTTATTTATTTTGCTATTGCTGGAAATGAGAATTTGAGAGCCAAGTTGGATACATTTAGATGACTAAAGAATTAGAGAAATGAGATTTTGTGTGCGTGTGTGTGTGTGTATGTGTGTATGTGTGTGTGTACATGGTGCTGGAGATTGAACCCAGGACCTTGTGCAAGTGAGGCAAGCACTTTACCGACTGAACTATATCCTGAACTCTATAAATATGAAATTATGTATGCCTAACTTTTGTTAAGATGTAGATTTTGAACTTACACATTATGGTTATTATCGTATTATGGTTCTGAAGGAACAATGTTTCTGAAAGTTCTACAGGTCAGATGAGATGCAGCAGGATGGAGCTAAGAATGAGGTTCTGTTCATTTCAGCTGGAGAATGTCTACTTTTAATACAAGGAGGGTGCTCATATCATTGCACTTGTTGTAAGACTTCCTCCTCTAAAAGACATTTGAAGGTGAGTGTGGTGGTGTACACCTGTAATCCCAACAACTCAGGAGACTAAGGGAGGAGGAGCACAACTTATCCAGGGGCTAAACAACTTAATGTGACCCTGTCTCAAAAAAATAAATAAAAATATATATAAAGGGGTTAGGCATGTAGCTCAATGGTCAAGTACCCTTGGGTTCAATCTCTGGTCCAACCAAAAAAGAAAAAAAAATGAACAAGCACTGCCTTGACAATCCTTGCTTCCCCCTTCCTTTTAAGGGGATTATTTGTGCATTAACCTTATCTAGATGATAATTAATTTAATTATCTTAGTTTTCTTTGAGTCTAGTGCATTCACAGTAGCATGTCAAGGAACACCCTTCTAGTTAGATCCCTGATAGTGCATTCAACATGACCCTAGGGAGAAGGTTCTAACAAATTCTAAGGCATTTATTAGCAAAATTAGCTTTCTGGGAGATCCTTCTCATCTACTAGAATATTATTTTTTAATGTATCCTGGCTATATTTTTTTTTGTTTAAAACACAAGAAAGTCTGAGAACTCAACAGCTTCAGAATAGCAGTGAAATCTAACAAGCAGGATCCCCAGAGAAATATTCAAATTACTGAAAGTTCAACTGTATATAATTCATAATTTTTATTTTATTCCATTATTTTCTACATTCAGAAAATGATATATAAAAGCTATATCGAAAATTAATGAATTGGGTAATCATTGGGAACACAAACATATTCAAAATAGGGTTAATAGATAAAGTAAAACTTGTCTACAAAATCTGCTTTTTTCCCAATATCTTCTATTGTTCAAATGACAAGAGATCTTTAGATGATGCCGAACACACCAAATTTGAAAAGAAAAAAAAATAAGATGATGATTCAGTATTCAATAAAATAAAGGATTTGAAAACAGACTTATTTTCAAATCCCACCCTGGCCACTTATAGTAATACTTGTATTATCATCTTGAGTAAGTTATTTAACCTCTGGAAGACTCAGTTGCCTTATCAGTAAAATGGAGATTATAATATTGACCTTAGAATTTATGTGAGGCTTAGCAAGGATGATTTGAAGAATGTCTAACACCCTGCTTGGTATGCTCATCCAACAATAGCTCTGACATTGACAATTTTCTCACATCTCTTTGAAGCAGTAGCAAAGAAAACTAATAATCTATGTGAATAGCCAAGACAGTTAGAAACAGAGAACAACTAGGCAAGCCATCACTTAAAACAAACAAACAAAACCACAGGTTTGCTTCAGCCCAGACTTCATCCTAATGGGAAAGGGAGAACTATAGTTTGCTCCCTTTATAAAACTGACAACCTCCTGTTCTGCCTATGGATTTCTTCCAGAGGGCCCTGCACAGGTGGCAACAAGGGAAATTGCTTAATTTTTCTTTGTACTTTTTAATGCAAAATTGACAGTGAAAAAGTTTATAAATATGATAGAAAAAGCTTTATAATTTGCACTATTCGTTTCCAACTGGTATATGCTTCCTATAGTGCCTGTTTATCTTATGTTTTTCAAATGATACAAAAGAAGAGGGGAAAAGACTGCTTAATTTCTCTAATGAGTGGTTTAGGGAGTTCAACTGTAAGAGCCCTAAATTCTTTTGAATTTTGAGAAATAGAAAGTCCAGTGGTCAATTTTCAGAATATAGCTTTAATTGGATCCAATTGTAACCATTTTGATTATAGGCCTTCCTTTTGCCTGCCCTAATTTTAAAATTAGCCAGTCTCAAAGATTATACCCATGAGCTCCTCCAGTCAGGGTGAGAGACAGCACTATCAGGGTGAGGGACAGCACTGCATTAGGGATATATGCAGGTGGACTGCCCACCCAGGTACTCTGTTTTTTTTAAGAGAGAGAGAGAGAGAGAGAGAGAGAGAGAGAGAGAGAGAGAGA